TAAACACTTTTATGTCAAATTAAGGAAGTTTTTGTGAATTTTGTTGTTTCCATCCACCTTTTCGAATGCAACACTTCGAAATGCATATAAAAAACATTGATGGAAACAAAGCTAATGACTTATAAAATTGTTCTTTTTACCTAACCAATACCATAACATATAAAAGAACAATTAGGCCGGTCACCAAAATGAATTTTGCTGGACAATAAATTGTCTAAGAAATTATTGTGATAAATGATAATATAGTTTGGAGACCATTTTAAACTGATATAATGATCCCCACAAAGCTTACAGCAGTTTAGGAAATTTACACACGTTAAAAAAAGCTAAGAACTTACCAAGACCAGAGATCATGACAACCGCTGCTGCAGCTGTACAATTTCTTCCCGTCTCCTCTATCCAGGTGGGCACGATTCTGATGTGTCTTCCTCTGGCTTCATAAAAATAATTGAGGTCACTCTCCTGCCTTTTATGAGGTTTACAGAAATTTACGAAAGTTATGCAGCATTACAGATGGACTGGGAGCAGAGTTTGTGAAAGCAACACACAACAACACCTGCTGGAGCTGTAACATCGCTGTCCACCTCTATCCAAACTGGTAAACTATTTATTCTTAGTGTCTCTTCCTCTGGCTTTATAAAATAAGCTTGGTCACTCACACGCTGATCATGAAGTTTACGAAATGTACGTAGTGTAAAAAAATCTACTCTCAACAAAACCAGTGTTTGGCATGGTGCCCTGAGAGCATCCTGAGGCACCGCCAGCTGAAAGAAGGTCTTCTCTAGCTAAATGCCTCTTCACTCATACTACAGAGGTCATGAGATAATCATGTGCCTGGCAAATACCTGATGCCAGAGTTCACTGCTTCTTGACACTAAAGCGTAGAACAGAGGAGAAACATAACGAAAACAACAACCAGGTAAATGCAGATTATCAACCTCTTTTTAATTTATCAACATTGTTTTTGATTTATCGTGTGATTAATTGATGTATTGCTAATCGTGACAGGCCTAAGAACAAGATTAATAATAACCCGTCTGTTTGGAATAACTCTAAACGTATTTGTACAAAAGAGTGAGCAAATTGCACAAACACACACGAACCCAACTCTGTATTTACTCACCAGGAAAAGGCAGCACCTCAGATTTGGTGCTATCACGACATCAGCCTGAACAAGATAAGAAAGCTTTTGTGGTTTCTGTGTAGAAAGCACACAACAGACGCCCCGAAGCAAACAATAAATTTTCAAAGATTGTTCAAKGATCAAGCCTCCCATCATGTGTTCAGAAATGACACTTTTGTTCACGTCTGGGTGTTTAAAAATCTCCACAGAAAAGATTTCCAGTTACAGTAACTCGCCCTCTTAGGTTTTTTTTTTTTTTTTTCACATCAAAAAGGTTTTGCAAATTCACTGTTTTTCTAGGAAGACGGGGGAGTGGAACCTCTCAGCACTTAGGCTCTTACTAACCCAMCTGTGGTCACTGAAGCTAATTGCAGCCTGTCTAGACAATACTTGTGATTATACCAAATGGTGCACATTGCTTTTCAGAAACATCTCAGAAAGAAAAAAAAGAGGAGGGAAGCTTCTACTCTCTAAAAACACGTTTGCAACATGATTTCATGATACTGCTTTTAAACAACATGTGTTTTCTGATCAGTGAATCATTCTRATGTTTTAAGCTTCTCTCTAGTCTTTCTTCACATGTACTAATCAAGAATCTTTGGGATTTCATCTGAACCAACACTGTCAAGTCACATCACAAACAGTGCAGGAACTCAACAATGTCCTGATCCAGGAGGAAGTGCTTCACAACATTTGCTGTCTTCTCGTGATTGCACCAAAATATAATAGAGAAAGTATGCAAATACTGCACTGTGGAACAGCTGGAAGGTAACAGTTCTGACTCCTGGCTGGGGCGTGGAGTTTTCATGTTATAAACCCTTTTTTTAAGATATTCTGTTTTTTTTCCCACAGACCAACAAAACATGCATATTAGGTTAACTACTACTGTAGTGAGTGTGTGGAGTTCAGAGTGTAGTCTGCAGTCCAATGACCACTGGAGAGAGAGGGACCAGCTGAGCAACCTTTACCAGGAATGATGGGTAAAAAAAATCAACGTATAGAAGGAACCAACACATTGCTGAGTCCATGATAACCTCTTTGTTTTGCGCAGAGGTGCCTAAAATATATAAAAATCAATAATAACTAAGTGAAAGTAAAAAATACCTTAACAAAAAATTATTTAGGTAAAAATGAATTTCACTGACAAGAAAATTATTTAAGTAAAAGTCATAAAACTGCTCACAATAATCAGGAAAGTAAAAGTACTTTTACACAGTCTAAGAAATGAAGTGTTGAATTTACTTGACCAAGTTATGCCAACTGGTTCCACTAAACCAAATTGAGTAAATGTAAAGCAATTGTTGCTTAATTTCCTCAACTCAGTTTAGTGAAACCAGTTGACATAAATTGGTCAACTAAGTTCAACGCTTCTTATTTTTAGAGTGTATAAACCCCTCCTTTCATCATGAGTTCTGGTCATTTTTAAATTTGTAACATAAAACGAGGTGTTAAATGAAGTAAATAAAGAAAAGTACCATTTTTATGTTTTGTATCAGACAAATAAAAGTAAAAATTATGATTTAAAAAATTGCTAAAATTAAAGATCCCCAATAAAACTACTTAAATATCGTGTAACGTAAAATTAAATGTGTGTTTTGAGTTTGTCACATGACAGAAATACGTGTTATTAATCACCCATCTAAAATTGACTGATTAAAAACATTGTTTAAGTACTGTGTCTGCAAGTACTGTAACTAAACAAATGTACTTTCAAAGTAAAAAAACAAGTTTTTTTTACTTCTGTTTTTACCTCTTTTACATAATTTTGATTCGTTTAAATTTCACAATCAATAAAGATTTTCAACTTGAGTTTTGTTTCGTTGATGTTTTATGTCTAATTTCAGTGTTTTACATCTTTGAATTTGTTCTTAACACTCTTTCCTGGTTAAGGGAGAACATAGAAAAGCTAATGGCTGACTCTGAACATCATGATGATACTATGCACCATTACTGTTGCGTTCCTCCTCTTCCTCTTACGCAAATGTGTGAAACTCACCGCCACAGGGATGCAACCGAAAACTAAAGCCAGCCTTGCCTGCTCAAGGCCAAATTAAATTTAGGTGCAACAGTCACTGAATCAGAAAACTAAAATGACAGCTGTTCAGAATAAAAGCACTCGAGCTTGCATCTGTCACAGTTTTGTAAAAACGCAAGAAAGCTAAAGAAAGATGGATATGCCTATTCATCAAATCAGCGCCAATCAAATGTTTTACTGTATCTGATTACATGTGAATCATCATCACACATCAGCTAATGTTTTAGAAATGCACAACTCAGGAATTAAACGCATCCCTATCAGGCAGCAAGACCTTGAAGTGCGTGCAATCGTGATCCCTGAAAGCACTTATTAGTACAATCTCGCCTGATGAGCTATTAACACACGTCAATAGAAATGATTGCTGAGATGCACATTTCCTCACCACCTGCTGCATCCCATTATCACAGACAGAGAGGCGGAAACACCACGCTGAACTTCAAATCAAAATCCTAATTTAAAAACTTTTCAAACAGGTACAGTGATGTAGAACAGTTCAATAAAGCTCACACACTCCACACACTTTGTCCAAGCGGTTTTCATTACTCGAGGAGATGTTTGCCATTTCCTCTGATGAAGGCAAAGGAACAAAGTGTGTGAATTAGTTGCCAGAGATAGAGGTTGTTGTAAAATTTAATGAGGCCATTTTCTACACATCCTATCTTGCTGAGTGAGTCAGCTGAGTGATGGAGCGTCATGCATGAACAAGGTTGATTAACAGGGAGGAGCTGCATTCAAAGTGAGATGACTAATGTGGGGAGACGTGAAATATTTGTTCAATTTTAGATTAAAAGCGGGTGCCCTTTATCATCTGTGAGGATCACCAACAAGAAGACAATATGAACGACAGAAGGAGAGGGCTGGCACAGGTAGAGTCCAAGATAATAAGGATCATAAAAGCAGGAAAAAAAATACAACTGCACTGCAAATTACTGTTTAAAAGCACCCTTGTCTTCTCTGTAATGTATCTTGAGGAGAGTACATCGGAGCAATGCTGAAAACTCAGGGAGTACAGAGGTGTTGGTGTATTAGGAATGGCTGTGAGAGCTCTCCATTCCACGACATGATAGATAACGGCATTTCAAACCAACTTCCCCTCACCACAGCCTTGCTTCTACCTTTTTCATTACATCACACTCAAGGCATCCATCAAAAATACCCTGTAGGGTTTTATGGCTTTTATAGGTCCCTTATCAAGCCATCAGCATATTCGAAGAACCTTCCGACAAAAGCTGTAAACACAGGAAAGAAAGCACGCCATCAATCAAATAAGGCTCATTTGGCCTCCAGGTTACACAAGAACGAGACATCCCACATTTATAATTTATTACCTTTATTATTAAAATATCATTGCATGTCGTATAGTAGAATAAGATGACTGTGGGACAGAAACATTAACAGTTAAACTTGTTTGTTATACAAACACCATTACTAAAGCTTTTGGCTGTTGCCACTACCGATTCATACTGATATACGGCATTGGATTATACTCCTCCTGCGGTTTGGGTTATTCATGTACATGATAACTAAACACTTTTTTTATCACCAGCTACAACTTCATGTTGTATGTTGAGTTTCAAAAACTGCAGGCAGTACATACAGAACAGAGTTATGGTACACAGTAAGGTTTTGCACCATCTCACACAGACTCAAAGGCAAGACAAGTTGTGTAGCCCTCAGTCATATTTTTCAAACAGTTCACTTTTCTCTATTTTCTATGACCTTTTTTGAACATCAAAGTAGTTGTGACAAATCTTCCAAATAAGGTCCAGACTTACCAACTACATTTAGGTGGTCTTCATCCTCCTCTGGGTCCGTGTCAGACTCTGGCTCCAACATGTAAGGCTGGAAGGACATGTCTTTCTGTTGTTTACATCTTTTAAATAATTTGTAAATAAGAGATTTCTGTGCCGCTATATAGCCATAAACCCCTGTATCAAACTAGAATGGAGCGCTCTGGAATCTGGGTGTGTGTGAAGTGCCTTGTTTGGATTTAAAGAGACAGCCTCAAAACAAGTTGCTCTGAGACACTCCTCAGAAAAGGGATAAGAGCTTGAGGAGTTAAAATGAGGAGGAATTCAGACCAAAGCATTGTAGATCCACTTTATATAGACCCCAAATGAATAATTTAAATATAAAAAGGATTTAAAAGCAGGATATGTCTCCTTGAAACGCTTTAACAAAGGGTTAAACAGGTGATTTTTGTTTATTAATATGAAAAATATATTCTTGGTTAACATCTGTATTCACAAAAAGAAACAAATTTGTTGCACTTGAGTTACGCAGCCAGCCAATCATTTAGTAACCAGTCCTGCAGCGTGAACTTTAGACACTCATAAACACTTGCGAACCCATCAATAACTTTGACACCGACGACACAACGAAGGGCTTACATTTTAAACAGCGTCATTTTTAGCTCATCAGCATGATGTGAAACAGAAGCACACGCAGTTTTGTGGGTGGTGGAGGCGATGATGGTGGTGGTGGACTTGTCGGCGCGGAGGACCGCTGGGCCATCGATCCACCACAACACATCACTCCAGCTCAATTTACAGAACCAATCACATCCCCTGCTGATTGATGTGTGGATAATTGAGCTGTCGCCTGGGTTTTCATGTTTCTCCTCCCCACCTGCTCCAGACTTTAGGAATTGTATTGTATTTTACTTTAACACCATTTACAACAAAAGACATCCTGTTGTGTATTTATGTCAATATTCTGCCGGGCTGCTGTCAGGCAGACAGAGCGATGCTAACTGCTGCACTGGGCTGGATAGATCACAGGTCTGTTCAAGCTAATTAACCTTGAGGGCCAGAACTCCTGCAACCCTACAGGGTCAGTCGGTGTGGCAGCTGCTCCTTCTTGACAGCGCCCCATTAAAGGATCCTCTTTGATTTAATATTTTCATCAAACCTTAGTCAGTGGGAGTAAAATGATCAAATTGTTTTTGACAAACTGTAATAATAGCCTTTGTTAAGAAGAAATACAGTAAGAACCATTGGTTTTGTGTCACACTGACCTTTAGCTTTGACCACCTGCATAAAACATTTCACTTGTAACCGTAACAGGTGCTCATTTTGGCTGGCCATGGCAGGCGCTTCTCCCAACATCCAATCATTCTGCAGAGCTAAGGCCTGAGTCACACTGCAAGATTTTAAAGCAGTCGGCCGATTTTCAAAGACTGACAGAGCCCGCACGTGGGGATAAAAAATCATGGATCTACCAGGTTTGGTCCTACAGTGTGTGATGAACAGCCACACAGCAAGAGACAACACACCACACACGAAAAGATATTTCATTCATGAACATTCAGATGTCAGATTTTAAATCACGTGAGACTTCCTGAAATCTCGCGAGAATTCATATGTCAGAGGAAATATCTCACGTGA